GCTACTCGGGAGGCTGAGGCAGAAGGATCACTCGAGCCCAGGAGATTGAGGTTGCTGTGAGCTAGGCTGACGCCACGGCACTCACTCTAGCCTGGACAACAAAGCGAGACTCTGTCTCAAAAAAAAAAAAAAAGAATGTGCCAGAGAGAACTCCCTGAATGCCAGAAGAAGTTATTTGAAAACAAAGTGAGTAGGGAAAGAATAGGACCAACTCGTGATTTCTAGAATATTGCTCTTTTAGGTCTATGTGGAAAACAACTAAGTACCAGAAATGGAAAATGTATGAATATTCCCTGTAGATGTGATTACTGTTGTCATCATTGCCATCAGCAGCAGCAGCGCTTTTGCTACCAGATAGTAAGTCAGATTCTCCTCATGAAGAACTTCAGGGTCTGACAAAGCCAATGCTATTTCAATGCGTATCTTATCACCAGGCGCTGGCCGGGGTGTTAGAAAAACCATAGCCCAGTAGTCATTGTTGTCCTTCCTCTGCAGATAGCACATGTGCTACGGCGATCTTGCGCTCACCGCCAGGAGTCTGAAATCACAGACATGTGCACAGTAAGATGTGCCAAAAGGGTTGCCCAGGAACTTATTACAACAGATAACGCAATAGGAAATTGTTGAATAAAAGCCCGTTGTGTAGGGAGCTCCACGCCACTCTGACGTTGTGCTAGGTACCAGCACCAGCCTGTGTGTGCAGTGCACAGATGATCCTGATTGGGAAGGAGGCCTTAGATCTTCTCTGTGCTCACCCCTCTGACCTTTTCTCTAGTTCTTGTTGCATTTTGTGGCATCTGCTTCTTTTCTTCCCTGTCCTCTCCGGCAAACTGTAAGCTCCCAAGGGCAGGTCAAGTCTTATCCTCTTACTATCCCAAGTGACTCACCAAGGTCATGACCCAAAGGAGCTGCTTAGTCCACACTCAGTGGATGAATGATGAACTAAGCATATTCGGTTATTAGGCATCTTTGAGATTACTTATAAGAGAGGCATCATTTGCAAAAGGCTAGCAGAGGACTCTTCACTTTATACACCTGCATATCAAAGCCGGCCTAGCCATTTCTACCCAGGGGAACTGAAACACAGAGGTTCTCAAACTTGAATGTGCATTAGAATCACCCAGAGGATTCCTGATCAACCTCTAGGCTTTCTGCATAAACCATGTAGAATTATGCCCAAGGGATCTGCCTTTTTATTTTTTCTTTTTCTTTTCTTTTTTTGAGATAGAGTCTCACTCTGTCACCTGGGCTGGAGCACAATGGCATCATCATAGCTCACAGCAACCTCAAAGTCCTGGGCTCAAGTGATCCTCTTGCCTTAGCCTCCCAAGTAACTGGGACTACATGTACATGCCACCACACCGGGCTAATTTTTCTATTTTTTGTAGAGACGGGGTCTTGCCCTTGCCCTAGCTGGTCTTGAACTCTTGGCCTCAAGCAATCCTCACATCTTGGCCTCCCAAAGTGCTAGGAGTACAGGCATGAGCCACGGTGCCTGATCTTTACCCACATTCTATTCCTACTAGCTACAGGGCAGACTTGCACAAGTTTCTTAAGCTCTCCATGCCTCAGTTTCCTCAGTTATAAAGTGGGGATGGACCCAAACTCATAGAGACAAAAGTAGAATAGAGGCAGACATAGGGAGTTTTTGTTCAGTGGGTACAGAGTTTCAGTTTTGCAAGATGGAAAAGTTCTGGAGAGCTGTTGCAAAACAATGGGAACATATTTAACACTACCGAACTGTACAGTTAAAAATGGCTAATAGGGTAAAGTTTTTGTTGTGTGTTTTTACCACAACTAGAAGAAGAAAAAAATGTTAATGGGGATGGATAATAGTGTCTACTTCAAAGTGCTATTGTGAGCAATCCATGAAATCAAGCATGTGAAGTGCCAGGCACAGACCCGGGACTAGTAACTGCTGTAAAAATTATAGCTATTATTATTGTAGTAGTCACAGTTGTTAAAGAATTTAACCATGAATAAGTTACTATTTAAAGGCATTTTAAACAAAATTATTGTCTGAATCTTCAAGCTGATGGAAGCTCCTTGTACTTTGTGAAATGGCATGCCCAAACTGTATGCTTTTCAGGAAAGCACTGGGCTGTGAAGCTGAAACTTATCTATCACCACTCAGTAAAGAATATTGCAAACCTTTCCCAAAAACCCAAGTAGCTTTTTGACAAACTACATTTTTCCAAATCCTGACCAATAGACCATTTACATTCCGCACATAGATCCATATGTGAAGAAGCCAGCCTTATCATAGGTTGGCATGTGACAGCCTGAGGATGTTTATATCAGACAATCTAATTCTTAACACTAAAATCCTCGATTTGCAGAGATGAGGGAGACACGGAACCGAAATGTTAAATTTTGTTTTCCACCTTAAGCTTAATAAAGGAAATCAAGCAAAAGCTGCCACCATAGAAGAAAGAAATGATCTCCCTGTCTTGAAAAACGACATGAAGCATTTTTCATCTTTGATATGCATGTGGAACCCAACGCAGACTTGGGAACATGGCATAGACCCAAAGCCATCATTTGGATTCTCTGCCATCGTTTTGATTTCATGTGCATCTATGCTAATTTCGTCTCCCCAGCCTATTATTTAAGCCTTAGCAGGACAGATGTGCTGTTTTACAAGGCCATAATCCACTTGGTGGGCGGATAACCAAGAGGCCTTTGGTCTTCATCATTTACTCCAGTAAGAAAACTAGGCGATTGCCTTTGTAAAACAGCATGTGACCCACGCCGTGTAACACCAACCTACGGGACCCTCCTCGGAACTTCTAACCAAATTCACAAAATTCATCCTGGTCACAGAGATGGCCAGAATTAGCTCTAGGCTGAGTGGAATTAGGCAAAGGCCAATACAGGAGTACAAATAGTAAAAATGACACAGTTGGGAAGTGACTTACAGTACAGAATTTTAGGTCACACAGGTGTTCACATGAATCAAACTCATCATTCTAAGGCTGAGGTTAGGCACCACTGGTGGAAATTCCAATCCTAGGTGGCTTTTAGATCTCTCTTGATTGAAAGATAAATTCCAAAGTCATTGCTAAGAATTCCCTGCCCACATTTTGTCCCTGCATCCTATGTATAAGGGACTCCCCCACAGACCTGTCCCAGAAGCCCTGAATATGAACAGCACTGACTGTTGAGATGGTTACTTGTGAAATCCAGATATGGGCTGCAGTGTCTGCAAAGGGACTGTCATCAGCAGGGGTTAGGGCTGCTCCAGCCCAACTCCAGATCTCAAAAGACTACCTGCTCCCCACTCACACCAGCATCCCTGCCAACAGGTGGAAAGGAGAATTAAGATGATTGTATGCAACAAAAAAGACGTGATTAAAAGAACCTAAATAACCAGACATTAACTTCAGGTTGTGAGCATGCTGCCATCTGTCTGTCCATTTTTCTTTTTCTTTTTCTTTTTTTTTTTGAGACAGAGTCTCGCTTTGTTGTCCAGGCTAGAGTGAGTGCCGTGGCGTCAGCCTAGCTCACAGCAACCTCAAACTCCTGGGCTCCAGCGATCCTTCTGCCTCAGCCTCCCGAGTAGCTGGGACTACAGGCATGTGCCACCATACCCGGCTAATTTTTTTTTTTTTTATATGTCAGTTGGCCACTTAATTTCTTTCTATTTATAGTAGAGACGGGGTCTCGCTCTTGCTCAGGCTGGTTTTGAACTCCTGACCTTGAGCAATCCGCCCGCCTCGGCCTCCCAGAGAGCTAGGATTACAGGCGTGAGCCACTGCGCCCGGCCCCATTTTTCTTTTTCTGATGCACTGAAGAAAGTACCTTATTATCTTAACATGGGGGTCTATCTCCAAGGAAGGCTGAAAGCTCTGAGACCCAAGTATTTGCCCCAGCTCTAACTTTTCCTAGTCACGTGACCTTGGAAGATCACTTAACTATTATTCTAGGCCTCAGTTTCCTCATATAGAACAGGGCTTAGGTCACATGACACATTCAATAAGCATTTATAGAAGGTTACAAAATGAATCTGTAAAACAGGGATGTACCAGGAGATTTCAGAAATGCTTTCCAGTGTTAACATTCATCTGACCTATGATTTCTTTGTGACAGGCTCACAACCCTGGTAATTCTAATCCTCTTCTGCCAGTGTGCACCAACAGATTCACCTCTGTACTCAATGCAGTCCGACCTTGCGCCTTTCTCATCACCTTATAGTGTTACCCCTCAATTATGTTACAGCAAGGAGGAGGCATTTCGCTATTAGCCTGATCATGCAATTATGTTTTTAAATAATAATCAGTTGCCAGAATATATAGTCCTGCATTTAAAGTTCTATGCAGGCCGGGCACGGTGGCTCACGCCTGTAATCCTAGCACTCTGGGAGGCCGAGGCAGGTGGATTGCTAGAGGTCAGGAGTTCGAAACCAGCCTGAGCAAGAGCGAGACCCCGTCTCTACCATAAATAGAAAGAAATTAATTAGCCAACTAATATATATATAGAAAAAATTAGCTGGGCATGGTGGCGCATGCCTGTAGTCCCAGCTACTCGGGAGGCTGAGGCAGCAGGATTGCTTGAGCCCAGGAGTTTGAGGTTGCTGTGAGCTAGGCTGACGCCACGGCACTCACTCTAGCCTGGGCAACAAAGCGAGACTCTGTCTCGAAAATAAATAAATAAATAAATAAAGTTCTATGCAGTATTTCAAAACTTATATAAGGAAGTATTTAAATTTTCCTTCCATAGTTGTTTTCCACTTGATTTCAAGAGTTAAACGAACATTTTCTCATATCTTATGTCTGATGTTTTTCTTCTCCATTAAAATGCTGAAGGTTTTTTCTTTCCTCTTTAAGAGAAAAAAAGAAATCTTTCCCCTGCAATTTACTTTGGCTTTCTCAAAAGTTGGGTAGGAAAGTCAGTATAATTCAGGTGGAATCTAAAATGTGCTTGTTGTACAAGCATGCACAGAAAGGAAGCCTATAATTGCCGCGCTTTCTTTCAGGAAGTTTGTATTCTCTGTTTTCCAGGGAGCCTTTACTTTCCAAGGGAGTATGATCGACATGCCATTACTGAAGCAGGCCCAGAACATTGTTACGCTTGCCACATCCATCAAGGAAAAATGATCTGGTAAATGAAGCTCTCATCAGGTGGGCTGAACATATACAGTGGGTTTCTTAAAGACAAACCATAATACTCAAGGCAACTTGTTAGTATGCTGGATTGGGACCTTACTCCATTTACAGTTCATGGTAATCATGATTTTTTTGTTGCTGTTTTACTGGCCAGTTATTCCTCTAAAAGTGAACTTTTTCCCTTTTGGGTCCAACCTTATGATTTTATTTGTTTATTAACGCATTACAAATGCAGATGTGTGATTTCGCAGGGAGATAAAATGATAGGGAAAGATGAGGGGAAGTTAGGTCTTTAATGAAACAGAACTTTCCTGAATATACATAGTCCCTGTCCCCTTCTTATGTGAATTAATGTTTCCCACATTGTTCATTTGTACAGTGACACCACAAATAATTTTAAGAAAGGCAGGCCTTTAAAAAATAATAACAAAATTAAGGGGTCATGTCTGTTTCACTAGTAATCTGATAAAACAACAGAGATGACACAGAAAAAGTTACATAGTATTATATATTGGCTTATAATGATATCTCCTAAAAATAAACTTTCAACACTGATCACTCTTAACCTCCACCCACAAGATGAAACATCCACATCCTCGATCCGCTGGTTGATGAAGACCAAAGCTCTCATCCTGGCCGAATGCTCTGGGTCAACAGTTACCGGCAGTTAAAAAATAAATGTGCAGAAACACAAGAGCGTCCATTCTCCCCCCTTTCTTTTCCCGTTTAACTGTTTGCCATTGAGGCCATTTCCCCCTGCAAATGTATGGCCCGGACAGGACTCCCTCAGCCATAAACTTGTAGTGTCTAAGAAGACACAATGCCACCGAGCTGGCTGGCGCATGTGGCCCCTGCGAGATTTGCATCACATTAGAGATGCTGCAGCAGGTCAGATGGGTGGTGTGGTTAACGGGCTTAGTAAAGCTGTTTTGAAGAGGTTAACCCAGCTTGTAGTAAGGGTAAATAAACATAACAACCAGCCATTGTTCCCTATTCAGCATGTACTCTTATATTGAAGGCTAAAGGGTATTGAAGCTGCGGAGGATCAACTTGTGCTTGCCAGAGGACGCCAATGAAGTTTGAAACACCAACAATCAGAGATTTTGTTTCTGTTCCTCATTAAATCATGAGCTTTTGTGCCGAGACTCTGGACGACTGTTCTTTAAGAAATTAACAGAATGGGAAGTTTTAAACTCTACACCAACCTTTTCATGACCTACACAGCAGCAACGCTGCTACTCTTAGACAAACTCCGCGGGGAAGGCTGTTCTGTTTATTTAAATTTGTAAATAGAAAACAGTTGTTTTTTATTTTCATTTTTTTTTACCTCCTCCTACGCCCTTTTTGATTATTTCCTACATGGTCCCTAGTGTGTGCCCCAACCCAGGGGTCTACTTTTCCCCACTTCTCCCAATTCCTACAGGAAACCCAAGAGGCGAGTAGAGTTGAGGGTTAGATTCAAGGAGAGGCACCATCACCTCGAAGCAAAGTCAAGAGTCCACGGCCATCGGCCACCGTGCAGCCCCGGCGCACAGCAGGGAGGGCAGGAAGGGGAAGATCCAGTTCCCACGGGCATGTGGAGGGAACCCCATCCAGGCTGGATGGTTCTGGGGAGACACATTCTTGGGACACCAACTAATGTTCCCAAACGTGGGCTCCCAGGAGACAGCTCTTCAACTGAGATGGCACACGTTAGGCTGGGTCCCCCTTCCCCTCCTTGGTGCAGCCTCCTCAGCCCCTCATCCGAGCATCATCACCTTCGCCTTGGTGGCCCTGTGCTGCCCCAGAGTTGTTGGAAGGGAAGGGGGGAGCCAGCCCCATCCTCTCTCTGAGGGCCGGAAGCAGGAAGATGGCATCTCGCCAACCTCAGAGACAACTGGCCTCCAGCCAACCTGTGCCTCAGGACTCCGGACAGGGGCAGCGGGCAGCCGCTACGGAGCAGCACCCCAAGGCGCACTGTGGCCATTACAGAGCAGCACCCCGAAGGCGCACTGTGGCAGCTGTGCCCTGCCAGGGTTCGGCCGGAACCCCGGAGTCAGGCTGCACGCTCAGTCCGCCCTCTGCTTAGAAGGAGAGACAGGAGAAAAGGAAGGCCTCTTCTCTTTTCCCCTGTCCCACACCCCCTCGGGGTGTCAAAAGCAGCACTGGCATGGCCTGGCACAAGCTAAAGAGGAACATAAAAGCCACCTTCGCACGTGCCTTCAGGCAGCCCTCACTTGAACTTAACTGCCCTTCCCACCCTCTGTCCAGATCCAGAGGATGAAAGGGCACACGTTCTAGTCTCCCCCCGGCTGCCAGCCAGCCCCCCGGCCCATACCCATGGGCCGCCACAAGCCTGGGCTCGCTGAGAGCCACCCCCCACTCTGAGGGAGCTCACATGCCTGCTGAAGGCACCCCTCAGCCCGGGTCTGGGCAGTGCTGAGAGCCACATTGGCTAGGTCTCCTGACACCCGTCGCCAACAGGCCCAGGGGTTCCTAGGTCCCCAGCCACATTCACCACGCCCTGGCCTGTACCCCAAACTGCATTTTGTTCCAACAAAACCACCTTACTAAGTCTCCCCAAATGTCAGACTTACCATCTTACCCATAACTCGGTGGTCCCAATTATGGTAGAATCATGAGACTGGGACCCACTAGCACCAAAAACCTGGACTGAGCTCCCACTGTCTGAACAGAGACCCTAACGAGGACCCCAGAAGAGACTTCAGTCATGGTCAGGAGCTCACTGTGCCTCATTCCTTGAAGAACAAAACTCTAGGACGGAAATGCTGGGGAACAAAAATGTATTCCCGCTCTTTTCCCACCCACAACCCTTTGGTGCCACGGATAGCGGCGGACAGGTGGGGGAGCATGCCCGGATGCCCGCCAGGGGACAAGGAGGTCTGCCCGCTGCCCTGAGCCAGGAATGGACAACAGGAAGAGGACCTTGCAGCTAATCTGATTAATCAGAAGCCATACCTGTTTCTATTTTGTGTAGCTCATCACAAGCCGCTTAGCCATATCACCCCCCTGTTATTAATTCTAGGGGGCTAAATTATGGGTAACACTATTAAAACATTATCAGAACTAATGAGAAACAATTACTTAGAAAATGAGCCGGGACAAGATTGAGTCGAGAACATCAGCGGTGATCACCGTAGATTAGTTTAATAAATCATCAGGTGCTAGGCAAGACTGACTGTATGTATGCAAAGCCCCGTCACGGGAAAATGAAATTGAGATTTTTTTTTTTGCATAATTTTTTCATTAATCTCAATAGGACCCGTGTGGTGTAGATTGCTTTATTCCCCTAATACCTTGCCTGAGGGGGGGTGCCCAATAATGTCTTCATTGTTTTACTGAGGTCTTAATGACAATCTGTGACAACCTCATTTTAATGTATAGAGGATTATATCATAGTCATGTTTTATTGAAATGGTGGGGGGACTCCAGTCGGAGTCCCACACTGTCCCTGAGCGCAAGTTAGGAAGTTCCCGGGCATCTGAGCTTTCCTTTCCCACGTCCAAGTGTTGAACCAGCCTGGCCTCCACGGAGGGGCTGGGGAAACAGTGTCCTGCCGGATGAAGACTTCACCACCTCCGATTTGAATTTGAAAGTAACTCTTTGCCTGGTATATTTTGCGGGTAAATAGAACGAACCATGTCCTTTTCCCCACCTCTCTAAAATAGACGTGCCATCATCATCATTAACACTTTTGCACCCAATAGTTTCGAGAGTTCGGGAAACTGATCTTCTTCCTGGGGGGACACTGTAATTTTCTAACGATGCCATAAAGGAAAAAAAGAATTCAGGTTTTTTGGTGTTTTTTTTTTTTTTAATTTGAAGGACAGTCTGTTTTTATGGTTTCGGTTTACCTTGGAAAGCTGAATCTTCCGTTCTTATTTTTATTTTTTCCTCTAGTAGTAGGAAAGCAATTGATGGTACGAAACAGGTTCTAAGATTACCAGAAGGACCTCGTGCATATATATGCTGGGAAAGGTCACCCGACCGGTCTGTAAGCGCAGAGCTCGTGCCCGGGCTCGGGGACAGGGACCTCCCAGCGCAGAGCCTCCCTGCCCCCACCCCCTGCGAGGTTTTCACATTACATCTTTGGGGAAAAGTGGCGGGAAAGTAATGACCAGACCCCAATATTTAAATGCTAAAAGCCTTAGTCTTTCTTGCCGCGCTTTATTTTAAACTGGGGCGCGACAGAGTAGCTAAGAGAGCGAACAAAATGGAAAATAAATTACTTTCAAATACCTTGGTACCTGCAAGCTCGCGCGGTGGGACCAGGCAGCTCTTTGCTGTTCTGGACGGGTGACTGTTGTTGTTGTTAGTTTGTTTAAATTCCAGTTATAATTTGGCAGCATATCGCCTTCCGAATCAGGACGAATTGCCAACGACATAAAGCGAGCGATCTGCAGGAAGGAACCGAAACCATCGTTAGCGCCTTTTGGTGGTGGCAGTTTGCTGCCGAAGCGACCCAGTTGCAGCTGAGCGCGCGAAGCCTGCAGGGCACGCTTATTTATTTCGACAGACTCTTTCGGGATTTGTCACTCGCACCTTCACTTTCAAAATTTTTATTTTTACTTTCTACACCGTCAGTGACTGGCTGGCTTTTACTTTGGCTTCTTCCGACGGGACGGGCACGGCGAGCCTGGGGCTGGGCGCGGGGTCCTTAGAGGTGCGCCCGCGCGACGGGGACCCGCGGTGTCCGCGTCCCCTTCCCCAACGCCTGCAGTCGGCGGGCGCAGAGACCTGGGGGCCGGGCGGCACCGCCCGTGCTCGGTCGGGAGGCCACAGTCCCTTGCCGGCCGGGCGCAGCCCCTGCGAGCTGAGCTGCGCGAGTGGAGCCGGCGCCCGGGCCGCAACGGCCGGTGGCGGGGCCCGAGGAGCCCGGCGGGCCGGGACTGCGGGGACTGCGGGACCCGCCCGCCGCGGGCCGCCCGGAGCCTGCGAGCCTGTCGCGCAGCCCGGCTGCAATGGTGGCAGATCAAAGGCCGTCCCGTGTTCCCGCGGAGCCGGGGACAATCCCGCGCCTTTGTGCGCTGTTGCTAGGAGCCCGAGAAACTAAGAGAAAGTGTCAGGAGCATGTTAATCAGACTCGTTACAGTGTAACAATAACGTCTCTCTCGGGTCTCCCAGGCCCCGAGCACCCCGACGCACCCCGCGCACAGGCCGGACACCTGCACGGGCCCTGGCGCGCGCCTGCAGGCCCCCGCGTCCCTCCAGCCCCGAGGTTGGCACCCGGGCCTTGCGCAACCACGAGGCCCAAGGGGCCCTGCAAGCGCCACGCACGTCTCCTGGGTCATGAGCTCCTTGACCAGAGTCGCCTAGCTTTTCAGTCCTTGAGTTGAATTGCCCGCGTTATTTAATCTTGGTGTTCCAATCGAGAGAAAAATGAACATTCCGTTTCAGACAGCTGTTTGGCGAAGAGTTTTTTCAAAACTATTAAATCAATTTTGCCAGTTTCCCTTTGACATCCTTACAGGATACTGTAAGTGGTAATCCCCAGTTTAAGAGAGAAAGAAGGAAACACAACTTTGCCGAGAGCAAAGCTTTCTTCTCTGAATACTTTTTCTAGGAAGTCACTTCATTCATTCATTTAGTCATGCAACAAACACCTGTTGAACTCAACTGGGTGCCGGACAGCTACTCTGAAAGTCATAGACCTTGTTCCAGATGAACTTTTCTTTTAAAATTAAAATGCTCTTGTGGAAGTCAGAGGAGAGGCAAAGGTGTTAAATAATGTCAAGTGTTAAAACAAAAAGAAGTGTCACTGGCTACAGTAGTGATAATAGCAAGAGAGGTGCGAATTAAGAATTAAAAAACATTTCAAACACTACAGGCCATATGCTTTGAAACCAGCCACTTTTTTCCACCTCTTTCATCTCCCTCCCCCCCTCCCTGTGATGGGTAGGAGCTCTGCCAGGCTGCAGTCTTGAAGCCCTTCAGAGTCTTGCCTGAGGTCTGAGGAGGAAGGCCCACCCTTCTGCGTGTTTGTACACAGCCTCTCAACTTGGGAAGGAACCCATTTCCCCCCTTGGCCATAGCCAGCGAATTGGAAAGCTGTCCTGAGGCTTAGGGCAGAATTTGGCCAACTCAAGGTGCTTTCTTCCATATGAACTCTTATTCGAGAACCATCCCATTCAGGAAGGGTAGGACAGATTTCTGGAGTCCAACTGTTGCACCCCAAGTCGTCACCAGGGTAAGTAGAAGACCGCTTTGTGAATCACCTGTACCCACCCATGCTAGAGGAAGAATCCCGTAAGTATGCAAGACTTCCCCATTGGTCAAAATCAGTTTCTCTCGTGGTTGTGTGCAACACACAAACATACGGAACACTGGACGTGTTCCCCAGAGATTGGAGTCTTAGGCGTGAAAGGAACTTTAGAGATTTCTTTCATTCTATAACTAAAAGATTTGATATACTGAAAATCCCATCTTATGAAAAATAAGGGGAAACCAAACACTGTGTCACAATGTTAAAATATCTGATTAAAGGGGAGAAATGCGGTAAAAAGAAACTATATTTTTTGGTCTATATAATGCCAAATAGCCGGTTTGGCTGACTTTTGTTTTTATTTTTAAACAATGAATCAAATTTCCTTCGTAATCAGACACACTAATAGAATCAAGAGAAAAATGGACATTCCATTTCTGATAGCTCTGTAGTGGAGACTTGCTTCGCAAGACTACACAGGCCAGGCATATGGCTTAATGTTAAATGGGGGGTCTTTTGAGTTCCGTGGAAAGAAGAATATAAAAACCGACAGGAACTTCTGGCTGAGATTTTCTGGGAGAACTGTATTCTTAACCCGGACTCCCAAATGAACAGAGCAGCATGTCGTTTTCCCCCAGCTCATTTCCAGGGCCTGGAATCCATGCTGGGGCTTTCAGGGGAGCTTCAGGATGCTTCTCTCAGGCTGGCGTGAGGGAGCTGCGGCCACTGGGCGCCCCACCAGTGTTCCCATGTCAGCGACAGCACCGTTCTCTCAAGGGGCCCTGGCCACTATCCACGCTGATCTTTGCAAAAAAGCCTTTGCAGGAGCTGTAGCCCCTCCCTCTCCATCACAGCCAGCAAACTCCTAGCTGTTCTTCAAGACACAGCTTCAAGGCCACACCCCAGAGACAACTTGCTGGTCTTCCTCTGTTCTTCCATCGCACTGGATCAGAGTTCCATTGTCGTATTCCTTTAGGGGTGTGTGTCCCCCAAAATAGCGCAGGTGCCCTGAATATTGAACATTGTCACACATTTTGGATCCCTCTCCTGCTCTCATCTGTCACCCCCAGCACGAGCTTGCTAAAAACGTGTTCAATTAATCAGGAACTGAAGTCTTTCACTTCACATTCGGGTTCTGATCCTCACCTTACAACTAACGGGCTGTGTTATATTCGCACACCACAGTAAGTCGTTTGTTCTCTCTGAGCATCAGTTTCTTCAACTATACGGTAACCGTGCCTAACCGCCATGAGGATGCGGTAGTCACAGAGCTGCACCGCCCAGATCACCCTTTGTGGCCCCACTTGATGGCTGAGGAGGTACAGTCAGCGGACGGCCTCGTTGCCTCGCCCAAGGCCCCACCTTGGAGGGAACCCAGGCATTCTGGCCAGAGGTGGGGTACCTGACAGGCCATCCTGCCCCAGAGCTCCCAGTAGGGATGACCAAGATGTTATTGGGTTTGCTTGGCAGTTCAACTTCTGCTTCATCCCAATCCTCATTCTTCCTTTACTGGGCGTTGACATATAATAGCTTGCACCCTAATGTCCATCTGAGCATCTGCTTCCAGAAACCCTACCCTGTGACAGAGGACTGAATGAACTACTGTATTTAAAAGCACATGGTACTTGCCAGGGAGTTGGGGAGGGTGGTAGTGGGGAAGTTATTGTTTAATGTGTACAGAGTTTCAGTTTTGCAAGATGAAAAAAGTTCAGGAGAAAGCGTGTGGGGACGGTGGCTTAACAGTGTGAATGTACTTAATGCCACCAAATCGTATGCTTCAAAATGGTTAAAATGGTAAATTTTGTTAAGTATATTTTACCGCAATTGTAAAAAATAATTTTTTAAAAAAAAGAATGAATTTAAGATACATATAAATAAAAAACTAATAAATAAATATAGTATTTTTTTGAAGCATCATCCTTGGTACACGATAGGCATTCAGTAAAGACCAAATGATGTCTACCGAGGTTTTAAACCTGCACTACAGTAGCAGTAGCAGATGGGAAGTGCATTTCTATTAAGTGAACCCCCTTTTCTCACTTACTTTCATTGGTAGACAAAAGATAGGTTGTCACAGGAAAAGGGATGGGTGGGGCAAATTCCTGGGCATGCCGGGTGTGGCCGCATACTCCGGCAGACCTGTGGATTCTGCATTCTGGGGAGCTTTGATACTCTTTGGATGTTAAAAATCTCCTAACTCCACTGCTAGCCTGTGGC